TACATTTGAACCAAAACTTTATCATCGCTTAGCCGCTTACGGTACGCATAAAGTGTCAAGCTTGACATTTGGAACACAATGCACACGATTGTCCCTCGTGTGGCCATATTGGATTATGCATTCGAAGAGAAATTTCCCTGGAAATTCTGTGTCAAGTGGACAATTCCGACAATTAACCGACTAGCGATTATCACGATATCGCCATTTCATGTTCCAATCCGCAGGCTAGTGATGACAGTGAGTGTAGTTATAATTCCAATTGTCCCTCAGCCATACTGAATTTACCGGGGCTTATGAAAACACACGTACTAACCGGATGGAAGGCAGACGTGTAGAGACGCTTACTAGAAATTGCATTGCGCATGGCCAATCTTTTGGATGGATTAAGTAAAAGGTTGGACCTAACGGAAATGTTATGTCAGTGAGTTAGTATATTACATCGGAAATGAATCGGCGCATAGCGACAATGGTTTTATGAGCACCGAATGGTTGCACCCGAAAAGTACGATATAGATCGTTAGCAAATAGCTTATGGCCACAGTAGAGTACAGGTCGGTAGGTACAAACGGTTGCGTACTTGGACATTTGCACAATAAATGCAAACACTGTTTGGAAGGTCGCATGTTTGACGGTAGGCAACTGGACTTCGTTGATGTCACCTGTCAATAACAAAGGAAGCGCATCAGTCGTTCTTTGAGTAGGTGCACATACCTAGGACAGCAGATGACCGAACCGGTAGGAGACACAGAGCCAGAAGTGGACAGTGCATCGCATTCGCATGCTGTGTGATCTTCCCCATCAGCTACTCAAAAACCAGACTATACATGTAGACGGCAACACCTAAGTGCACACTATTTCACTGTACCAGTAGTCTAGTCATCATTCTACCTAGCAGTTGCTTCACTATTGCTACATCGGGTTCCTTCAAATATGGATGTCCAAGATGTAAGGCTGTCACGTCTAAATGTTGAAGAAAACATCAACCGTTCGTATTAGGCAGTTATTCTCATGCCTGCGAAAGTGGTTGTTAGCCTGACGTCAAAACCAAACCCATACACTTTTGTAATACCATTGATGATGATGTCTAATGTGTCTCTATCCAGTTTGTGACAGATCACATTTAAGTTTATATAAACGCATGTGCATATGTTGTATTCGAACTGCCATTGGACACGGATGAGGACAATCCATGTATATATGTATACCGAATGCATTCGACGAGGATACTCATACCGCTTTTGTACGACTAACTTAGTGCAGGGAAACGGCACTCGAGCAAACCGGAATTAACAGTACCAGAACATGGAGAAGGTGAGTTTATGACCAACTCATGTTGACTTCAGGTGTCGCGAACCCAAGGCACTGATCATAAGGGCGCTTGCTCAGGTGCAGGAGAAGGTAGTATTGCACGCGGAAGAGAAGCATGATGCGTACGCTCCCATTCGATTTACTAATCCAGGCCAATAAGGCGGCGAATGTGGTACGTTTGCTTGCGTGCGGAGTAATCTTACATTTCCGAAGTACATGTCGTTTGAGCACCCCGGTGTAGATGCGCTTGATGTGAATGTTGAATAGGTGGTTTGTGACGTACGCGAATGACTTCGATCCGTTTACTCAGCCGTGCGTGGATTGGTTACCACACAAAACAGCCAGCCAATCATCAGACACACACCCCCGGTCTCGCAACGCGAGTTCCGTGAGTCTTGTACCTTCCTTCAATTGATTGATAAACCTTCTGCTGCTTAGACGTCTTCTGCTTGCTGGGATTACGTGTCTCGGAAGCGTGCGTTACATGCTTAGTGGTACTACGTATTAGTGGCGACGAAAATGACGAACCCAATGTTGAATACACCTCCTATATTCTGGTCATCTGCTGAGGAAAAACCGACCTTATCGAATTGGATAAGATGGCGAAAATCATTTACTAACTACGTGGAATTACTTCCTGTACTGAATCCGACCGTTTGTCTTTCTGAGGCTCACAAAATCACACTATTCAGGCAGGTGCTTGGCGATGAAGGTCAGAGACACTACGATGCCCTGCAACTGGAAAATTATGCCACCCTCAGTTCTGCTTTGGATACTTATACCACGTTATGGGGGCTGAAACAAAATGTTTACACTGCTAGATACTGCTTTTCAAAACTTGTCCAAAAGCCGAACGAAAGCGTCAATGATTTTATTGCACGTATTCACCAATCCATTCCTGATTGTAAGTATAATGATATTCCACCTGGAAAAATTGAAGAGCAAATGAAAATTCAATGTTTGATTGCGGGAATATCGGACGAAACTGCTAGAGAGAAGTTGCTATCCTTGGATGAGTCGGCCACCACGTGGAAAAACGTTTGTCTCATCGTTCGCCAACGTGAGAACATTACACACCAGTTACGCGAGTTCACCGGTCGGCCGGTAGCTGATGATGTGCAGGCGATCCGTAAATCAGACAGCAGTGAAAATCGAAAACAATTTGTGTGTTATCGTTGCGGTTTGCGGCATTCTCACGCTTCCGATTGCCGGCACAAAGAAAGTATCTGTCGGAAATGTGGCAAGATAGGTCATCTAGCACGCGCCTGTAGATCATCGCCTCATCAAATCGTCAAAGCAATATAGAGTTACGGGAAGATAATGTCCTAAAAATTTGAACAGTGAGCTTAACTCCGTGTACTACGTATTATGGTTAACTGTCTATTACCCACTAAATCGTCCATATTGGCTCCAGGAGACAGTTGGGCGTCGCTGAAGAGGACGGAGTGCACCGTCCTCGTAACGGCACTAGGCTAAAACAATGGTTCCATCCTGTGTGGAACGGGCTATGGTCCAGCCACCGCCATATGTACGTCTAGTGTGCATGATTTCCCAATAAGGCCGGAATGCCTCTGTCCGGCTTGTGGAAGGAGTGTGGGCCGGATCCGTTGAAGAAAAGTGGCTCCAATCCGCATGCTTCTCAGTCTTATTCCCTCGGGTTTACACTGGATATGGGGTGCGTGTGGATGGAAATGTGGGTGGTGCAGCGCAAGGCACCCATGGTCGTCCTGTAGGGCAGGCGTACTGGGGCTGGCCACAGTTAAAGGTAAATCCGGATACGGAAGCCGCCAAATCATTTGGTTAGCGGCATCCGGTTTCGGATTTGCCTGTCACTGTGGCCAACCACAGTACGCCTGCCCTACAGAGCGACCATGGGTGCCTTGCGCTGCACCACCCACATCTCCATCCACACGCACCCCATATCCAGTGTAAACCCGAGGGAATAAGACTGAGAAGCATGCGGATTGGAGCCACGTTTCATCAACGGAGCCGGCCCACACTCCTTCAACAAGCCGGACAGAGGCATTCCGGCCTTATTGGGAAATCATGCACACTAGACGTACACATGGCGGTGGCTGGACCATAGCCCGTTCCACACAGGATGGAACCATTCTTTTAGCCTAGTGCCGTCACGAGGACGGTGCACTCCGTCCCCTTCAGCGACGCGCAACTGTCTCCTGGAGCCAGTATGGACGATTTAGTGGGTAATAGACAGGTAACCACCTATTCAACATTCACATCAAGCGCATCTACACCGGGGTGCTCAAATGACATCTACTTCGGAAATGCAAGATTACTCCGCACGCAAGCAAACGTACCACATACGCCGATCAACCGCCTTCCATTCCTATGACCTGTAATCAAGATTAGAACGTGAGAGGCTCAATTTAATCATGTTCTGGTAACGTAACTTTGGTTTCCCCACTTGCCGCTTCCCAATACGCAGCTGACCATATAATAGCTGCTTCGGTATCCGCGTCAAATCCATAAGGCTCACAGGACCGATCCACCTCAGGTGTCTCAGCAAAAGTATGCAGTCCACTGCATACATTCCACTACGGCGCAACACTTCCGTGTCTGCAACTCCGTCGCCACAAACGATGCGCAGAATTCGTCGCAAACACTGCTGATGGAACCGTTCGATATATCGCATATCCCGCCGATATACCGTCCACATTCCACTGCCGTATAGAACGGACAGCACCATGAATCTGTACACCATCAGTTTCGTGCCAATGCTAAGCTGATGGTTGTTCCACACTCGGTACTCAAGCTTCCCGAATGCCGCCGCTGCCTTCGACGCGCGGATACGCAGCTCACTCTGTAGCTGCTGATCAGCCGACATCACACTCCCAAGGTAGCAGAAGCGGGAGGTGGTTTCCAATACTTCAGCGCCAATACTGATTCGCGGCAATATTGAGGATTGCACCTCCGGTGAAGGCTGAATGAGACAAACCGTTTTGCTTGTGTTGATGGTGAGCCCGAATTTGGCCTCTGTCGAATTCAGAGTATTAGTCATGTGCTACAACTTATCCGCGCTATGTGAAAACAACGCACAGTCTGCACGCATATATATATATATATATATATATATATATATATATATATATATATATATATATACTCGATTCCGGTTAATAGGACCACCGGTTAATAGGACCAGCCGCTTATTCGGGCCAAATTCTGAAGAACCGAAACGAATCCTATTACGCTAGCCTAATTTTAGCCGCTTATTAGGACCGGAATTCCGCTTAATCGGACCAGACGATAGAAGGTGGCAGGTAACAGAGGTGTTAAAATCAAGTTCTGTGCCTGGATGTCTGGACTAAACCCACAGTTCATATGTCGGGCAAGAAAGCGTATCATTCAGTTACGGTAATCCGAGTTGGCCTTTGGATAAACTGAACTGTGGCAACCTTGAGGCACATCTATCTAATTGGCTTCAGAACCGCCCGAAACTGACTGTAGTTTCCAACACTTGTAGGCGGAGCGAAGACATACATGCTTGTTCACATGTCGTTAACCGCTCGATCGATGTACCGCACGTCCATTGAGCCGAATGCCCTGAGCCCGCATTGCGGGCCTACTCTCGAGCACGGCAAGTGATCGCGGACACACAGGTCCGGCAAATCATAGGACAGCAGGTGGCTAGGTCAACCATAGAAATACCCGGGAGACAGACTCGAGTTCACCTCAGTGAACTGTGCGTGTCTTGTTGCATGTTAAGAAAATGCCACGACGGGACTTGACGTTAGCTGAGAAGATTCGTTTCCTAGATCAGATCAAGGAACAGGGACCAACCACTAGTCAGCGTCGATTGGTGGAAATTACCTGCTTGGCAAAATCTACAATATCGCGCCTGATAAAACAAGAGAAAGATCTGCGAGAAGAATGGGCACAATGTGAAGGACGACGAGGTACTTCCCAAAAACGGAAGCGTGAAGGCAAGGATCCAGACGTCGATGAGGCCCTTAATGATTGGTTTGCCTTTGTTACTGGACGAGCCGTGCGAGTAAGTGGCCCAATGTTAAAGTACAAAGCAGAAGAACTCGCTAAAATGCTGGGCCACGAAGATTTTATAGCTACGGACGGCTGGTTGTCTCGATGGAAATCTAGACATGATGTAAAATTTAAGAAAGCACATGGTGAGAAAGAAAGTGCCAATAGCGCTCGAGCTGAAGAATGGAAATCAACAAAACTACCAGAGCTTCTTGAAAAATTTCCAGCAGATGACATCTATAATGCTGATGAAACCGGGTTGTACTATAGGGCTACACCGGACGGCTCCTTAAGTTACAAACATGTTACTCTCTCTGGCTGCAAAAAAGCAATGGATCGCGTAACTGTCTTGTGCTGCTCAAACATGTCCGGAACAGACAAGAGGAAGTTGCTGGTTATAGGAAAATGTGCCAAGCCTCGCTGCTTTAAGAGACTCAGAATGGACAGTTTACCAGTTGTGTATCGTGCGAACAGAAATGCATGGATGAGCTCTACACTTTTTAAAGAATGGGTGAAGGATTGGGACACAGAGCTACAACGCCAGTCGAGAAAAGTGTTATTACTTCTCGACAATTGTGCAGCACATTCAAATTTGGATTTCTTGAAGAATATCCAGATGGAATTTCTGCCTCCCAAGACCACATCTTTGATACAGGCAATGGACATGGGCATCATAAAAAATTTGAAGACCTTTTATCGTTCAAGGTTGGTGAATTACATCCTTGAATCAATTGAGGAAGGCTTGCTGACCTCATCCTCGACGGCCGGAGAAATCAGTGCAAAGGTCAACATTTTGCAAGCCGTTACATTCGTGGCCGAAAGTTGGCGAAAAATGAGCAGTGCGACAATTCGGAACTGTTTTTCTCACTGTGGCTTTAAGCATATTGTCTCGGAGATGGATGTGGATATGGTGATTGTAAATGAAAATGACGGCGAGAATGTGGAGCTGAAACAAGTTGAAAATTACGAAGAATTTTTGTCAATCGACAACGAACTTCAACTCTATGATGGAAATGAAGAATGCGATGCTGCCATTGTTGCTCGAATAGCAGCGAAACACACGACAGCAACAGAAGACCATGGAAGTGATGAAGAGAACCCTAACGTGTTGATGCCAGTCACAAAACAGGATGCAAGGAAATGCATTGAAACATTGCACCGCTATTTCATGCAGGAAGGAAATGAAGGTAGTCCTATTACTGCGTTACATGTTTGTAGTGATTTTGTGCGAATGCAGTCTGTTAAAAGAATGCGTCAAACCACACTGGATACGGTCTTCAAACGCTGAATGGAATTCGGTAATCCCTTTGTATAAAACTGTACTTCGCATGCTGAATATCTTGTAGGTCGTTACGAAGAATTTGTTTGTAAATTTCTTTTTCAGTGAACAAAGTTCGTTATCAAAGCAGTTCTTTTTGTGTGTTTGCTATAAATATATGCCGCCAATACAGGTCATAATAGTAGTTTCCTATGTTATGTATAGCACGTCCCATCTTGTTACATCGGGTAACTTCGGTTAATCGGACCAGCCGCTTAATAGGACCAAAATGGTCTGGTCCCGATGTGGTCCGATTAACCGGAATCGACTATATATATATATATATATATATATATATATATATATATATATATATATTATCGCGGGAGAGCCTATGGTGCGCTGAGGCTGGTGGTGGCTAGATCCTGACAGATGGTCTACCCACTGCTGCTACTGTTGTGCCATTGGCTCATGTCCTGGACGCCTCCTCGTGGCGACCGCTGGGTGGGAGTTGGGTTTCGCCCTTCTCCCTGCTAAGATCCAGGACACCAATCCGCATGAGTCAGTGAACTGACCATGTGCTAGACCCGCTGCTTTCGGGTGTTCATTTAATCGAAGGCTTTGGCTGAGGACCCGAGTCGTTCTCCTGTCAGGTGTGGGCGCCCTGCCAGTATCCTAGTCCATCCTCTTCGGAGGTTAGGAAATGGTCGATGGCCCTCTTCCCGTAAAACCTAGCCATGGGAGACAACAGGTCTACGGATTATAAGCTCACAGCTCGATTGGCGTAGAGCACGAGCGCCACGCATTGTCTCTGACGGTGGGAGGGCACCTCCGGGTGTTCAGTGGTTTGCTACTGCCCGGCTCAAGCCAGGCAGCCCCTGGTCAAATTAGTGCAAACCCGCCAAAACCCACCTGCGTCTGGCCGTGGTCGCAGGTGCGTATCCTACTACGGTCGCAAAACATATATAAACCGTTCCAGTACCTCCAAGGCTGCGTGTGACGGCCGTCAAGCAGATCCCAATCTGTCTCTGCAATCACATTCCCGAGCTGGATCTGCTCCCCACTGCCTTGTGGGTCAGGCTATTGAGCCAAGGCTCCGGGCGGAGTCCACAAGCAAACCTCCAAACCACCCACTGCCTTTTGGTTCAGGATATTGAACCAAAGGCTCCGGGTGGAGTCCCTCAAGCAAACCTCCAAACCACCCACTGCCTTGTGGGTCAGGCTATTGAGCCAAAGGCTCCGGGTGGAGTCCCTCAAGCAAACCTCCGAAGCACAACGACCACCTCGCGTGCGATTGCCCACCAATGCAATCGTATGCCTGCGCGCAAAGCACTCAGCATCGGGTGCTGGAACGTGCGCACACTACTGGACCGGAACTCCAGCGAGCGCCCCGAGCGACGCACTGCACTGGTCGCGATGGAACTGGCGCGCTACCACATCGATATTGCGGCGCTCAGTGAAACTCGGCTCGCTGAGCAAGGTAAGTTGCATGAAGCAGGTGCTGGCTACACATTCTACTGGGTGGGCAACGCCGCCTCAGCACCACGTGATCATGGGGTCGGATTTGCAATATCCGATCGCCTCCATGGCCAGCTGGTGGGTGAACCAACGGGCATCAGCGCGCGACTGATGACTGTTCGCCTACGACTCGGAAGAGGTAAGTTTGCCACTTTTATATGCACGTACGGTCCGACCATGTGTTATCCTGATGACACGCGTGATCAATTCTACACTCAGCTATCCTCCGTGATACGGTCTGTGCCGAGGAGCGACCGACTATTTCTGCTGGGTGATTTCAACGCGCGCGTTGGGCGTGATGCATCGGTGTGGACAGATGTTATCGGTTCGCATGGCATTGGTTCAGCGAATGCGAACGGTGACAGGCTGCTCTCACTGTGTGCCACTCACGGCCTGACGATCACGAACACTCGGTTTGCACTGAGTGCGAGTGATATAGCAACTTGGACGCACCCACGGAGTGGTCACGCTCACCTGCTCGACTATGTCATCGTACGTCAGCGTGATATGCGTGAAGTGCGCATGACACGTGTACTGCGTGGAGCTGAGTGTGGCACTGATCACAAATTGGTGCGGACCAAACTGTACATATATTTTCGTAAATCTATGTATTGCACTCCCGCCGTGAATCGGCGTAAATTTAACATTCTCTCCCTCGGTACTGTGGCGAAACGTACTGAGCTGGAGAAGGCGATGGCTGCACGCCTGTGTGATGTGGAATGCATAGCCACAGTGGGCGACCTGTGGCACCACATTCGCGACCAGGTGACAGCTGCTGCCGAGGAGACCATCGGGCGCGCAAACTGTAAGCGGCCTGATTGGTTTGATGACAACAATGCGACGATTGGCGCATTGGTGTCGGAGAAGAATGCAGCATTTGCTGCACATGTGGCAGACCCCAGTGACTTGGGGAAGAATAGTCAGTTTCGCAAACTTCGACGGCGACTGACCCGAGAGCTCCGTCGCATTAAAAATGCATGGTGGACGGAGAAGGCGAAGCAGATGGAATGCTACGCCGAACGCCGCCAACACAAGGAATTCTTTGACTCCTTGAAGGCGGTGTATGGACCGAGATTGGAGCCGCTGAGGACGCTGATCGATGGTAGTTCAGGCGCTACCTGCACCCAGACTGCAGACATAATGCAGATCTGGCGGAAACACTTGACTGTCTCTTGAACAACCGTTCAGAGATCAACTGGCCTACATTGAACGGCCTCAAGCAGCACGATGTGAAGGCGAATCTGGCGGACACGCCGACACTGGATGAGACGCAGAGAGCACTTGCTCAGCTGCGAAACGGCAAATGTGCCGGTGCCGACGGGATCCCGCCTGAAGTATTGAAACACGGCGGACCGGCGTTGGTGACTGCGCTGCACCACTTGGTGCAACGTGTATGGATTGAGGAGGAGGTGCCTCCTGAGCTGAAGGATGCCCTTGTGATACCACTGTACAAGGAAGAAAGCAATGTTGCACGAATCATCGTGGCATCAACTTGCTGAGTTGTGTAAGGCAGGTGATTGCCCGAATCCTGCTCAATCGCCTCGTCAGTCTGGTTGTGGAACCGAACGTGGCGGAAGAGCAGTGTGGATTCCGTTCGGGTCGCAGCACTATAGATATGGTGTTTGCGGCTCGTCAGTTGCAAGAGAAGTGCAGAGAACGACACCAGCCATTGTACTCGCTTTTTGTTGATTTCACCAAAGCATTTGATACGGTGAACCGCGAGGCATTGTGGCTGGTGTTGGGTAAGTTTGGTTGCCCGCGTAAGTTTGTAAGTTTAATTGAATGTCTGCACAGTGGTATGCGAGCGAGGGTGCAGCTGAATGGAGAGACCTCGGATGACTTTGTAGTTGTCTCTGGTGTGAAGCAATGCTGTCGCATAGCTCCTGCCCGGTTAAATATATATCCATATGCAATGTTGTCCTGTGCTTTTGATGCCGCTTGTGCTTACGGTGTTCGTGTGGGGCACCGTATTGATGGTGGGTTGCTGGACATTCGACGTTTCGGTGGGAGAACTCTAGTCTGTGAGACAACTATCCGTATGTTGCTGTTTGCTGACGACTGTGCGTTGTTTTCACACAGCGCGGATAAGTTGCAGCACATGACTAGTACTCTGAATTCGACAGAGGCCAAATTCGGGCTCACCATCAACACAAGCAAAACGGTTTGTCTCATTCAGCCTTCACCGGAGGTGCAATCCTCAATATTGCCGCGAATCAGCATTGGTGCTGAAGTATTGGAAACCACCTCCCGCTTCTGCTACCTTCGGAGTGTGATGTCGACTGATCAGCAGCTACAGAGTGAGCTGCGTATCCGCGCGTCGAAGGCAGCGGCGGCATTCGGGAAGCTTGAGTACCGAGTGTGGAACAACCATCAGCTTAGCATTGGCACGAATCTGATGGTGTACAGATTCATGGTGCTGTCCGTTCTTCTATACGGCAGTGGAATATGCGATATATCGAACGGTTCCATTCACAGTGTTTGCGACGAATTCTGCGCATCGTTTGTGGCGACGGAGTTGCAGACACGGAAGTGTTGCGCCGTAGTGGAATGTATGCAGTGGACTGCATACTTTTGCTGAGACACCTGAGGTGGATCGGTCCTGTGAGCCGTATGGATTTGACGCGGATACCGAAGCAGCTATTATATGGTCAGCTGCGTATTGGGAAGCGGCACGTGGGGAAACCAAAGTTACGTTACCAGGACATGATTAAATTGAGTCTCTCACGTTCTAATCTGGATTACAGGTCATTGGAATGGAAGGCGGTTGATCGGCGTGCATGGCGCGATCTGATCACGAAGGCAGTTGCCGAGGTGCAGGAGAAAACCCTCATGCATACAGCGAAGAAGCGGCAAGTGCGGAAGCGGCAAGCACCGATGGGTTGTTCTCCATCGACATCAAGCGCATGGTGCTGTAGCACATGCGGTTGCGAGTGCCAGAGTCAAGCAGGCTTAGTGAGCCATGAGCGAGGCCACTCGGGACCACTACCGAAGCGACGACGGGTCCTGCAGAGAACGTAAGCAGAACCAGCGCAGCGTTTGTAGGTACGCTGCATTCGATTTACTAACCGCGTGCTTGCATGCTGGCTGGCTAGCCGAACAACCTCCTCGTGGTGTCAGCTGGGTGGTTCGGGTTTAACCCGTTCCAGCAAATAGTTCGGCGGCAGTGTTCCAGGACGTGGTGGGTTTCGCCTGGCAAGCGTTCTCCCTATAAAAAGCCACAAATGTCTGCTTAGCAACAATGTGACGTGGCGGTCGTGACTCGCCACAAAATAAAGCCACTGCCCCGTGAATATCCGGATAATTCTATCCAACCTACGGACACCAATCTCCTACTCGCATATTGATGACGATGTCAAACATTGAAGATTGGAGCAGCACAACTACAAGCACAAAATACACAGCTACATACACATACACACACAATGACATACATACATACCCTCTACACAAACACAAACTGCTACGGAAAACATATCGGATTTTTGCACATTCTTGATCATGCATCGTTATGTCAAAATGATCATGCCTGTAAAGGCGTGCCTCACCTTGTTGAGAATAAAAGATTTATTTATTTATTTATTTAAGTCACTTTATTCCAGATGTTGGGTTTTCAGTTTTGTCCTAATG